TTTTAACCCGGGGTTTTTTTTTTATTATTGTAGGGGGGGGCCTTTTTGGGGGAAAAAAAATTAACTTTTATAAAGTTTGTTTTTAGGGGGGGGGGGGGGGGGGGGTGCGATCACTCGCGCAACTAACTTTTCCATTTCCATTGGATGTTTCACTTGTTCGCTCCCAACGACAATGATCGACACAAGCAAGAGGAGGGTAACCCTACATATACGCGAGTAGACCCGGCTTCCGAGAGTGCGAAGGACCAACGTATCTACGGAGACGGAACAGGGTAGATGGACGAAAGGGTGGGACACCACAGAAACACGGCATCGTGCTTGTCCCGCATGATGCCGCTGCAGCACACGGTGCGCATCGGAGAGCTCGGTGAATGGGTAGTCTTTCTGTGTTAATATTTATGTTCCAAAGATACACAAATGCAGAAGACGGCGTTTCGAGAAGTTAAAATTACTTTGTTGACAAGGAAAGATCCGCACACTACCGTCTCTCTCGCTCGATATTGGTAGCCTTAGATCCAGAAGGAAATGTTTGTGATGACAAGATCAACGTATCTCAAGCGCGAAGCATTAAGAAGACGGCAACAACATGTACATTGCTTCTATGGCGTCGGCCAGTACATTTGAAGAGTCGTACAAGCGATATTCACACAGGGCAATCCGTTGCGTGCTACAAGTACTTCTTTGCATCTCCGCATCTCCACAAGCACGCCTGCATTTTCAGGCTAATTGCGGTTGTGTGATCGTTGGGCGACACGGGCCGGGAATTGGTAATCTAGCGGCGAAAATAAGACTCCCCCTTCTAGCTTTGAATAGAGGATGGAGGAGAAGCCCCGGGAAGCGCCTTAACACAGCAGTGGGCACGGGGTAACAGGTAGGATTAACCCGGCGCTACACATGGGGGCACACAGGACGAGATGAGTACACTTCATTTCCCAGTCATGCACAAGCAAGCTGCCGTCGCAACATTCAAAGGGCGCGATTTGATCCCGTGCGGGTGACAAAAGACAGACGAACTTTAGAGCAAAAACGCCCGGAGTGAGCAGGGAACTGAGGGTACGCGTGAGAGGGGTTGCACCCTCACGCGTTTCATTGCGGTGCTCAAAGTGTGCCATGTGGCCTCCTACTTTGGGGGAGGTTGATTGTTGATGTACCAGAGCACGGAAGAAGAAAGTGGGCGAGTTATACCGTGGACCCGCGTGGGAAAGGGTTGAGCCAAAAACGGAGGAAATTGTCCGCACACAGGACATTTGCACCTACTTCTCTCCTCACCTTCTACCGGCCATTATCGTTGTCGTATTTGGTTGGCTGTATGCCTATTTGCACTGCGGGTTCCCTGCCTTCCCTGGGCACTGCACTTGAGTAATCCTCTGTGACTCTCTGTACACTCTACACACTCTACTAACGAGGGTACACGGATTGTATTCCGCCAGCCCCCTGACCTCTGATCCGCGGAGCCCCTCAAACAAAAAAAAAGCGGAAGCGGATACACCACGTGTATGCGCACAAGGAGGGTTGCCTGCTACGCAGGGAACATGGGATGGCAACCACACCAACCGTCCCCAAATCCATGACATCTTCGTTTTTTCTCTTGTTGGCATTTTGGGTTGTGTTGGAACAGCGGGCGAGTTGTTGGTTATGGAGTGCTGGGAGCATACTAAAAAAAAATGTTGGTTGCATAAGATATATTAGTCTACGTCATTGGATACCACACACATTGATTGCTATCTTCTGCTTGCCTCGGGCAACCGTGCTGGTCCGCTACGAGATTTTCGTTTTTGCTGAGATGGTCTCTCGTTTCCACCGGGCGTTGCAACCGCGGAAATTCAGTTGAGGTCGTTACTATGGCTCGATGCTGCTGAGTCGTGTTGCAGTTGTGAGGACGAACGAGGTGGTATGAAACTCGGTGCGGTAAGGAGAAAAAGCAGTCACATGGCGACGGCGATGATTAGACTCCCAAAGGTACCACACACCCTGCTGGACCGATTTCAGAGCTGGACTACTGTACTGTACCTTCACGAGGCGAAGAGGATCTCAAAATCAATTGATAGAGCATTTTTGGCGCGTCATCTTTTCTTTTCTTTCTGCGGGAAAATCGTGACTTCGGCGCAGGGGGGTCGTATGTGGGCCCTACCAGACAGATATGGTCCTCCTCCTAGCATGCAAGTCTTGACTGATCCCGCCAGCGACGAGGAGCAAATTAATCGGTCATTTATAACGACGGTGAACGTTGTGAGGTGATGCAACGTGATGTGACACATACATACAGAGAGTTGCAGCTGCGCAAAATGATAAAATAGGCTATCGCGCGTCGCACGTTGTACAGAGTACTGCGCGTGTTCCTGGCAGCAATCAATCTGATTCGCGGCATTCATTTTTGACAGAGACGCGCGGTTTGGCGTTATAGCAAGCAAGCTTACGACAGAAGGCGAGTAACGCGCTGCATACGAGAAACCATTCGATTTCAATACCGATTATTCCCACCGCTCGTGAGGCCCAGTCCCTCAAAAGGACATCGGTCGCCCGGGTCCTGGCACACATCAAAACACTAAACTTCGTGCTATCGTACCAGGTTTGGACATCCCCCACTTGTCGTGCACATATACACAACCGTAAACAATAGGCTGTAAACTCCACGGCTGATTTCCCCTGCAGGCCGCAGACCCTTCGTTGCGTACACGTACCCCCTGTTGCACTTTGACAAACATCAAATAACTTCAAACAGACTCTGGTGTAGAAAGGGATACCAGCACTGCTTTTGTGACAGTTACAGGAAGACACATCACAAAGTGAACTCGCGCGTACATAGTTGTCAACCCATAGCTCGTTGGGTAATAAAAGCGTGACGTTTAACAGAAAGGTGTGACACCAATTGACACACTCACCCCCGACTTTCTACCACATCTTTCTCAGATATCGTTAACCTTCCTCGTCGTCGAAATCGTCGTCGAAGTCATCTCCATACTCGCTAGGTGCAGCGTCATTTTCACTTCCCAGCTGCTCGTTTTCCTCCTCCCCATCTCCATCGAAAAGAAGCCTATCTGTGTCTGCCTCGCCAAATGTTTCACCCTGATCGAGGCCATCTTCCATGATGGCTTGAGAGGAAGAAGAGTGAGCATCACTGGTGTTGTTGTTGGTGGTGATGTCTCCATCGACTTGGGGTGGAGGCGCTGTTGCACCGCCGTCAATGCTGCTACGGGGAACCTCTGCCACTGGTTCTGCCTCATCACTGCGAAGGTCGCCACTCCTGCCGCTGTTGGATGCGGTTGGGGACAGCTCAACGTCTGCTTTTCTGGCAATCACTTGCTCTTCTTGTTCTTGTTCCAGTTGTTCCTCCTCTCCTATGCTGATGCCATGGTTGCTGTTGTGACCTACGGTGATGCTAGTTTTCGTTGCACCATTCTCGCCGGTTGTGGTCTCAACGTCATCAGACCATCGTCCAGCATCAGAACTGTTTGAGGATGTTCCCGTCCTCACGACCCCTTCCCTTTCCGCGTTTGTTGCTGCTGCTGCTTCGATGTTCTCGCTCGATTTTCCACCGATGATCTCCTCGTCCGAGACCCCCCACGAGGAAGCCGATCCGGCGAGCTGATGGCCTGACTTGTCGCCGCCCTGTTGAGCCCCGCTTTGTTCGCTGCTGTAACTGTCTCGCGGGCCATCTTCACCATTGCAGCTATTTTCGATATTCTCCTCTGCTTGCTGATGATAACGTTTTGCGGTTAGGCTCGTGTCGTCTTCACGTTTATTTGCCGCCGGTGCTGGGGGTGTAACGGTGTATGCTGCCGCCGCTGTTTCTGCTGCTGCTGCTGCTGCTGCTGCTGCTTCTGTGAGCGATCCACGGGGCGACGACGACGAGACCCGTTTCGCATCGTATACGGCGTCGCTTTCGTCTCCAGGTGCTACTAAAGGGCCTGATACGTCATTCTGAGGTGGCCGCGCTGCAGTGAGGCTAGCTGGCGAACGACCGTACCGACGGCCAACTCCATCGCGACCATCACCGTTCTCCTCGCCACCTCCATTGTCGTGCCTCGCGGCTGAACCATGCCCACCGACTTTCACATCACTCATGGGGACAAAACTAACGTCGCTACCCTTTTTCTCCCTGCTGGTAAAGGAACCAGAGCGCGGCGAGGAAGAATGAGAGCGCACGCTTGGTCTCCGACTTCCTCGTCCGGCCTGTTCTCGGCGTGGAGGCTCAGCTGAGACAACTGGAACGGTGAACGCGGCGTGGTTGTCATGCTCGCGGTTTGAAGAGCGAAGAGAAGAGGAAGAAGGGGTTCGTGCTGTACGCGGCTGGCGAGCGCCGTCGCCACCAACGCCGCCGCTGCTTCCACCGGCAGCCCGGCCGGAAGAAGGCGACGTCAAACCCACCCTCTTTTCCTCGTCAATGAGTTTTGTTCTAAACTCACCGCTTCTCCGGGGTGCGGATAGCGGTCGGCGACCTCGAAGACCAGCCGCCGCTGTTCGAGAATCGGATCCACGCCTAGTTGTGGCCGATGCCGCCCGTATCATGCCTTGGCTCCGTGAGCCTCCCGCCCTGTGGACAACCGTCGAAGCCCCCCCAAACCATCTGCCGCAAGAGCGCTGTTTCGTTCTTTGCGAGATATGCTGATCTCGGGGTCTACCATGAGCGCTGATATTGAGTTTTTCTCCCCCCGCTCTTGACACCATCTGGGCACGACGGGGGGGGCTGACCCTCCGCTTCGGAGAAAGAGGTCTTTGGTACCGATCTCTTCCTGTCGGTGAAACCCTCGGATCATGCAGCACCATGCCGTCATTTTCTTGGTGTAGTATGGTCGGGGAAAACTCGTCAACTGCTGCTGCTCCCCAGGTGTGCTGGTGGTTGTTCCGAAGCTTGTCGCCGGCGCTCCGGACGATCGTTTCGACATCCTGAGCGTCCTGTTCGAAACGAACGGGGTTTGCAACTGACGTCGCGCCGTCGAAGGCCTCCGGCCTTGCACGCCAGAGGACGCTGTCTACTCCCGAGCTTCTTCTTCGAGTCTGGTCTCGTCGATTCGGGGTGTACTCCTCTCTCGTAGTATTCCGTTCTTCGTTGTGAAAGCAATTGCTGGGTGATGTGGCTTGCTGCTGTTGGTGCTGCTGAACAATCAGCTTCTGAAGTCGCTGGATTTCGAGAAAGTATTCCTCAGTTACCGCAGTCATCTCCATCACGGCCGACCATTCCTGCCGTGAAAATATGGGAAGCGCACGCGTCGAAGAGAGCAGTGCTTCAGAGTATATTATATACGTTGCAAGCTATACAAATCTCGAAAATATCAATGTTTGTCACGTTATCGCAGCGAGAAGCTCTCTTTCGCTCTCGGTCTCTCTTTCTAATCCTTCTTCCTCGCTTTCTCAGGTGCTCAACACAAACCAGAATTCCACTAAACCCAGGGGAAGCTACAGGACCCTCAGTGTCGACGCTACGGCGATGGGATGTGCTTCCACACCACCACAGACGGAAACGGAATGATGCCTAACTGCTCATACGTACGACGGTTCGGCAACGTATTCCAACGCAAACCTTTGTTCGCTTGATCGTGTCCAGCTCTCGCTCTTGGCGAGCTAGCAATTGCTGTAGGTGTGTTTTTTGCTTTGCCAGCGTTCTCACAACTGCACATTTTTCTACCTCGCTGCGCGCGGCGTGTAGCAGCCGCTGATCCCTGATGTAAAACCCGGGGGAGAGCAGGAAAAACGGCGGTGAATAAGTTAGCCAACAGCTTGCCGTCTCTTGTTCCTGTGTCTTTAACTCAAAGTGGTGGCGTTGTACGGAAGTTACTCGCGGATTACAGAAAGCAAGCAAGGCGTGTTCATGCCAGCGTGTCATGTACTTCTTTACAAGGAGAGTATAGTCTATGTACTAAGTAGTCTACAACTCTATTGCTAGGCTACTCGATGATGCAGAGACGGACGGATTGACTGCTCCGCGTGCCTATCCGCTAACATCTACTTTATAAAACGTGGGAGGAGACGACAGCAGTGCACTTGTTCCATGTCCTACAGAGATCGTATGTGATCGGGGACAACAACACTATGCACTGACACAACGACGGAGTCTAGGTAACAAGAGCCGCGTATTTGCAGCGTGCTTACACGCACCTTTTTCCGGGCGTCTGCTCAAGCTCGAAGAGGAGAATCTCAATCTTGTCGTCAGCTCGCAAGAGCTCCCCCTCCAAGCGCGCCTTGTTGACCCGATAGCGCCTGTTCTCTTCGGTGGCTCTACTCAATGCGACCTTAAGTTTGTGATTGTCGTCCTCCAGGGTTTCGATGTCGTTTACAGGGTTGTTGTCGTCCAACACCATCCTCCTTCTCCGAGCCGTTCCTTCCCGACGCCGTCGAAAGTCGATATCGAGAGAAAGCGGCTCTTCTACTACCCCCTCTGCCCAGCTACGCCCCGAGCGTGCCGAGGATGCCATTGCGCTTCGTCCAACCGTGCATCTTCTAGAACTGGAGCTCCTTGCGCTCATTGGTCTCCAAGAAGGGGCGCCGCCCCGCTTAGGTACTACAGCAGTAGATGGAGGGCTGGCATATGCAGAAGCGAGTTCAAAGGCCGCGCGATTTCGTTCTTCCCGCTGTTGTGCCCTCATCCCCTCCGATGTCGGGCGCGTTTGTGATTGTACGTGGTGTACATGTGGTGTGCACTTCCAAGGGAGTCTGTGTGGTTCGTGGTTGGCGCTTACCGCGTAATTTAGCGAGTTCCGTTTGCGGCATGATTGCGAAATGCGGCGTAATTCGAGTGGCTGTACCGCGACGGTTTCATGTGACGGTTCGACAACACGAATAGGTTCTGACTGATGAGGAGGAGAGAGAGAGAGAGAGAGAGAGAGAGAGAGAGAGAGAGAGAGAGAGAGAGAGCAATGCAGTCTTTTGAGAAAGAGGGAAAGGGTTAGGGGGCGCGCGCGATCTTTCCTAGAGTAGAACCGTGTACCTGTACTGATCATCAGTGATCAACAGCGAAGGCAGGGAAACCAACCGCTGCAGCATGACGTCCCGCGCCAGCGTCAACCGCGTCAGGGGGACCGGTCAAAGTCGGTGAGTTGCCATTACGCCCGTTTATCCTGCGGACAGCTTGGGCGTGAGATGCGGCTTCTCTTCTGAGATCTAATGGAGTAGCTAATCCAGATAAAGCTTTCAATACTCGTCAGGTCTACATACTTTACGTTGTATGTGTAGAAACACAAACATCTCAAAGCAACCTCGCTCGTTCATGCAGATCAAAGATCGGTGTTTCGCGAGCCGGAGGCTCGAGGAGTAGAGCCGGGGTGTCGGCAGGTGCAAGCGGAACTCACGGGGGCGGGGTGGGAGGGGTGAGAGTGTTTTTAAATGGAGTCAACGTCACGCCGCAGAGTTTGCTCACCTCAGCATCGCGATCATCAGCGGGGAACACCTCGGCCGCGGCGGAAGCTGCCGCCGCCGCCACAAGAAGAAAGGCGTCAGGGGATGCACCAATCAAGCGACCTTCTGGAGGTGGCGTGGCGCCCCGAAAGAAGCCCAGCTTATCGGTGGAAGCCCAGCAGAGCGCCCCGGCCGCTGCAAGATCGGAAGGCGGGCATGGTAGTGGTGGTGGCGGTGGGGCAAAGTCACCTGCAGGGCGTCGAAAGCGGGCGGGGGAAGGGGCCGGCGAGGAAAGTGGACTCACGGAGGAGGATCTCAGCGCACCGATTACGATCGGATTATGCGAAACACCGACGATGATGTTGTTGGAGATCCGGGGCTCGGCCGTTGCAACCGACCTCCGAGACTTTGGCAGGTGGAACCTCCGCAATGTGTCAGTCTTTCCTATTTCCCCCCAGAAAATCCACGGTGGTTGGTCATTGGTATCGGTACCCATTTGTTGTGAATTGCCATTACCAACTACGAAGTAGTCTACACAGATACCAAGGCAATCACAATACCACGCAGAATGTCGATTCCCGTGTATAGGTTGCCACTGTTATTGATGGAACCATTACAGAAAGTCGCTCCTGGCTTGATGACACTCACAAAGTTGTTGCATTTCTTGATTTATCCTTTTTGTAACAGGCTCGCTCTCGTTCCGCGCTCAATGGTGGAGAACGAGGACAGGGGTTTGAATCCTGATCACCGTTACCGACTAAAATACCCAACATCCATGTAGCGCTCATACAACGCCCACATGTATTGTGCTCAAACACTATTAAATAGTTGCTCCAGGACACCATCCAACGAAATACAGTACAATACCCCGCCAACAAATGTTCAATTTCCACTACCGGACAGGAATGTCTATTTCATCCGCATTCGACCGAACCATCTAATCACCTCGGGTAGCCTAGGGCGCTAGCCACTTGTGCCGTGGAAGATTGTCGGGGGTTCGTTCTCCACCCGACGCTTCCCGGCATGTACGCACATTGCGGTGTTTGGCTCGATATGCAAGTTGCGTTATCGTGGCCGGTAGTTCTGTTTCTTTATCGTTGTTCCTAAGGACAGCTGGCTGCGGCATCCGGCCACTGGGATAGGTGATTTGTCTAAGTGGTTGATATGTCTGGGAGTAGCTCTGGAAATGTTTCGTCTGCTCTTTTCTCTAGTTGCCAGTCATTGCCTGGAACACCTGACAACAAGCTAGTAGACTTGGGACTGAATCTTGGCGCATGTGATATTTGGTTTGGAAAATTGAATATCGCGAGCAGTCAACAATAGTTTCATCACGCATTAGGTGTTTTCCTGTTCTTTGTGTGCTATACACTGCAAAAATATCTGAGCAGCGCCGCGATGGTAAGTGATCATCCAAGGTGCACTACCGCGGTGGATGGTTACCGTACCAAACAGGACCAACCCGAAATGTCGTTACCCAAGAAGGCCCTGAGTCTTTCAAATCGACTCACGCCCATTTGCACACGGTGCAAGTTAAACACAGGCGCCGGCTACTTTTAACAATCTTCGATTTCATCGCTGATAACCGTGATACAACTACACAGAGTGACCCCTCCAGTGTAAAAGGCTTCAGCGTCTTGATGCTCTTTTGTCTCGGTGTGGTCTTGGGCAAAATACAATCGAAAATCACCGACGTCGCCGGCACCACCCCCACCATTTCGAAAACGTGGAAGAGAGAGAGAGAGAGCCGATCCACGAAACGACCAAAGTCTGATGTATGGAACAAACAGCGCTCCACTATCAGCTCTACTGCTTGCATGGTGTGGACAAGCGCTCAACCCGCACTGAGGATACCACAGACCGAAGAGCGGCAAGCACCAAACTAATCAATCGTGGGGTTCTCTCTCTACTGCACCCAGGTACCAACAAGAGAAGCAGGACTACGAAAAACGGGTGCAGGAAAAGATAGGAAGTGACAGGTTTGCTTCCAGACACGCACAGACTGTGAACTGGGCGCTGAAGACGAAAGAGGTGGGCAACGAACCAAATCATTTGAACAATGTTGACACCTGTAACGCCTCGGACAGAAGTTCGACCTGCCAGTGGCCATGTGGCCAGATGCCTTACTGGATGTACGTTACTGGGGCGACCAACTATGTGCTGTCACGCAGTTGCTGTCTCGCAGACAAGACTCGGGATGGTTGTACTATTATTTTGGCAACTCTTTGGAAGCCCATGCGGTTGAGCATATCTTCATTGGTTCAACGTGCAAGCGTGGCGCTGTAGACACAGAGAGGTGTATTCTAGCTGTTGTTTTCATGCCCTACGTGTTGGGTGGCGGCCTCCCCTTCTTGACAGCGAGAATCGCGGCCTAGGTACACGGCCTGCCGGTTCACTTACCATCGCGAGTTGCTGCTGTCATCCTCGCTCTACTGCTGCCCACACGCGTCCACCCCACCTTCGATCCGCCTTATTTGCGACGTAAATACAAAAACTGACAAAAAAAAACACCAAAAGGTTACGGCGGCTGCGGCGGCCACCAAAGACGCTTCGTGCGCCGCGACCACCTGGGAGATCTTCGACGAGCAGTCCAAGGCAACGGACCAGGGCGTAGCAGACGATGGGGTGTACGGGGGGGCGGGCAGCAAAGCGGAGGTCGGGGGAGAGGAAACAGCGGTGCAGCGGCAGGCCGGGGAGCTTGCGACGGTGACGCTCGCCAGGTACGAATGATGTAGATCAACAGCTGGGAAACAAGCGAGACCACGCTGAGCTGTTATCCGACGATGGCGCAATGAAGTGAAAACATACCTTGGTACACGGCCGGCCTTCGATCAATCCCCCCGCCATCCCGTTCTTCCTCGCTGTCGCCCTCAAAACAGCGACGGTTGCCTCCTCGAGACAGCAAGCACCGTGGCGCCCGCCCCGCTGCCATCAGAGGCCACCGCCGACACCGGTAAGAGCGGCGGCGGCGGCGGTGGTGTCAGCACCAATGCCGTCAACCCGAACGCTAGCCGAGCCCGCGGCATCAGCGGCACGGGCGTCACAGGGCCGATTGGTGGTGGTGGTGGTGGCGGCGGCGGCGGCGGAGCCGGGCGTGCCAAGGCCAACCCGAAAAACTCGAGCGTCGGCACGGTCGGAACTGCCGGGGGCGGTGGGGCAAGCAAGGTCAACCTGGACGGCGGTGGTGGGGAACTCGCGGAGGCGGTGGAATTGCCCATGGATTCCAGGTTTGGCACACGATAGAATTTTGATGAAAGTGTCGATGCACAACGGCGGTGAGTCGGCAAAGCAGCTCGAACAGGAAGAGACGAAAAGCGGGGTACAGACGCACGAACAAGTATTCCTTTAGCGCACAGAGGCATAGATACATGTGTGGGTTGCAAAGCCAATGAGGTTGAGTTTCCGAGACGTGCATTCGTCTCTCGGTGTGTGTGACGAGTATGCCAGCGAGAGACACCGACGACGGCGCACGTGCTACACTGTGTGCGTGAGTTACCACTTCCATGGCCCCGTCCTCGCTCATAAACAAACGTACCCGCCAGAGGCTATCAGTTGCCGCTCTCAAAAGTTCATTGTGCTATTGTACAGTGATGGTGACATTGACGTTGTTGAGTGGAGTCTCATCGCCGTTGCTGCTGCTGCTGCTGCTGCTGCTATTTTCACGTCTATTGGGCACTTGTTGACGACGTTGTTCGTTTTCGGCGTCGGGCCCTCAGGGGAGTCGCAGAGGTGCTGGCGGCGCAACAGGCGGAGAAAATCATGGTGTCGAAGCAGCTTCTCGATTCCCTCGAGCTGGTGAGTTGCTGCTGTCTCCGCGTTAGCTGTCGTCCTTCTACCCGGGTCATTTTACCCTCCCTTGAATGCCCTGACTAGAACACAAAAGCTCGGGCATATACACCACAGAACAAATGATCAACATTAACGGGACTAAACGGAGTGTATCGTTCACCAAGCTCCGGCCGGAGCTCAGAAGCGAGGCTATCATGCTCGCTTGGCCATCCGCCCCTACTTGTTTATGTGGCCTCCAAGACGTCCATCAACATCCACAAGCCCAACGTCATCTGCGTCATGTACATGCTGTTTTAGGTGGAGCGGAGCTTGTTCCAGAACTTCCTCCACAGCAAGCAGCTCGAGTACCGCAACTACCCTCCCGTCGAGATGCCCGCCGAGGAGGACTTGTTCGGCGGTGTGCCGGGAGGCACGGGTGGCAGCTCGATCGGAGGAGGATCGGAGAACCGCCAATCCGACGCGTGGGAGAACATGTCAACGAGCAACAAGGTTTGTTTGTCTGCGCGTGGAGTGAGAGCCTGAGAGAAAATCCTTCATCAGATCTACCGCCGTGGAGGGGGAGGGCAAATGCCCCCTGACACTGCCGTCGAAAAAGCTCCCCCTGACGACCCAAAAGTATTGAACCGGAAGCGCAGTCGATGGTGCAACAAAGTACAGAAGGAGACGCAAAGAAAACAAATGTGAAAGGCTCGTTCCCTTTCACAGCCGAGCTGTTTCGGCGCCAATGATCCGCATTTCCCGAACAAGAAGGGTGTCGACGCTTGCAATGCCCTGGCGGCGTTGAGGGGCATGAGGTCACGACATTTCCGAACACCAATCATTCGGGTTGGGTAGCCCTCTCCCGCCGCGGATCAAGTGGGTCTTGGGACTCATCCACGGGGAGGGAAGGAGGGGTGGGTGCAATACTCCAAATGCGAACACCAGAACAAGGATGAACAGAAACATCACGACGCACGTGATGACTCTCTGTACGTATCACACCCCCGCTTAATGAAATCACTGTGCCTGAGACGGAACACTCTACCTTCACGATCGTATCTTGGAGGCTCGGCACGGACACGAATAACAACGGTGCATCAGGCCACCCTCCCACCGAAAAAAATACTTGCAGGGGGGACGGTGTGTACAAGCAGATTGTGCTGTTCCTCATTAAGTATTTCCGTTCCGGGTGGCATCATCATCATCCCTTTCTTTCTCAGTGTTCGGACTCAATCAAACATAAAACCAATAACCTATCATCCACCAGGTGTCCCTCCATCCTTAGCGTAAAAGACTTCAACGCGTCTTCATCCAAGAGCCATCTCGAGCGGGTGTATTCTGTTGATAAAAACGAAATACTGTTGTCGTCATTGTCTCCTCCCTTTGTGACCTATCACCCTCTATCCGTTGGCACTCACGCGCCCTCCTTGCTCTCACATCGAACCCTTCCACGAACCCGCCGCCTCCAGCAAGACGGAGGGGGCCCGAAAAACACCAGTCTCGAGCTTTTGTGGACTCACCGATACCCCTTCGCGGAGAGGGTAGGAGGCGGTGGTACGGCGGTCGATTCCAGCGTCAACGGCGGGGCTCAGCACGGGGCAGGTGCGGCGCCAAGCGGTGGCGGCGGCGGTGGCGGCGGCGGTGGCGGCGGCGGCGGTGGAAGACCCCACCAGGCCGGAGCGAACCGTGCTCCCCGCAGCGGCGGCGTAGAGGCCGGCGGTGTTGGGGCCATGGGCGGGGGGGGCGGGGGGGGCCCTGCCGCGGGTGCAACTGCCGCTGCTGCTGCTGCTTCGGCGGCGGCAGCCGCTGCCGAGCACGCTAGACGAGATCGCACCGTGACTGCCCTTTGCTTCCACCACTACAACGGAGACGTCTTGGCGGTGGGGTACGGCGCTTTCTTCTTCTCGCCGAGCGTCCACAAGGGGGGTGCGGTGCTGTTTTGGTCGGTGAGACGAGAGGGCACAGATATATGACGACACACACGGGTTTGGAGGGGAAACGATGGGTTTCGACTCACTGAAAGTAACAGGGCATGTTGGCTACCATGGGTCGTTCGCGTGCGTGGCATGGGTGGTGCTCAACGACAAAGTGTGCCCATCAGCACACCCATCAAACACCCAGTACACAGCTTCGACACAATCTTACTTCCGGAACCACTCGACCTGACATCAGGCATCTACCTGCTGGCGGCTGTTTGGGTGAATATCAAAGTTCGCAAAGGCGTATCTGAAATTCTTTTTTTCCACGTTCTGTTCTACTGAAATACATAGGTCCGCAATCCCGAGTACCCGGAGCGCACAATCCACACCCACAGCAGTGTGACCAGCCTGGACTTTGCCGAGAGACACCCGACTCTCCTCGCCGTCGGCATGTACGACGGCACGATCGCGATCTACGACACCGCGAGGGAGGGCGAGGTCGGTCAACACGCTTTCTTGTGTCTCCCTACAGATCGCGCCGCCACAACTCGGCTGCTGTGAGCGCTTGTCTCTGCTACTCTTGAACTACACGCCGTATACATGAGAGGAATTAGGGTACTGGATTAATCCCCGAGATTTGCTATGGTTCACAGGTATATCTCCGGGAAGAAAAGGGTCCCTCTGCAACAGCCCGGTTCCCTACGTGACATTCCAGACACACAAACACACACGTGGAATAGACGCGTATCTATACGACCAAATTACTACAAAAGATAAATGCAGAGCCGAACAAAGACGAACATAACACACGTTTCGGTTGTGTTGAACAGTGTTCCGGATCTATCCGGGGTAGGGAAATAGATAGCCCCCATCCAGGATACACCTACAGAACGCAAGCATTTCCTTCTTGTAGGAAGGGAGGGAGGAGCGAAGAGTGATGAGTGTTGGTAAGGCATTTGAGTTTCCATGTCATTGTCGGTTGGACGTTGACTGTGTACCCCTTTCGAGACGGAGCGCGAGGGGGCGAGGGGGGAGAGGGGGAGGCGGCGGCGCCAGGTTTCGGCGGATTCGGTGCTTACGCCACCCACAACATATCGAGAACGTGCTTACGAGGACGCCGCATGGCAGTAGGGTAGCTCACGTCCTTTCGCTTTCCCTGACACACCACCACCGCTGCCACCGCTGCTACCACATATCCTACGCACACCACCACCGGCGGGCGCTTTTGCTCTTAACGGCAGCATTCTTCGGTGGCCGTGGCGGAGAGCAGCACTTCCTCCGGCAAACACACTGACCCTGTCTGGCAGGTGACTGAAACGCCCAACTGGGTTACTCAGAGAGTCGGTCACGCAATTTGTTTTCAGAGCGAACAGAGCACGGGCTGCATGGGGATGGGGGGGGGGCGCAGGGGTTCAGGGGTGCACGAACGGGGTGAGGACGGGGAGGAAGACGGCGGTTAAGCTTTCAGCACCGTACAACGGTCGAAGGCAATCGATTCGTATGATGAGGGCCGAAACAGGATCTCGTGAACCCCGATACCGATGTCCCTTTAATGAGCGTTGACCCCGATGATGACACTAACGAACGAACAAACCTGTAAGTCCCTCTTAAAAGGTATAATTGTTGTTCGCATCCATCATCTTTTCCGTAGACCAATGCCTGCAACCGAGCAAGTTTTCTTCACGTCTCGACACAAATTCCTACGTGTAAAAAGCAAGACATCGAGGACGTTTCATGCTACACGTGCCGTTAATGGCGCCAGCTGGCGCTTGCGAGTAGGATTCCAGTTGGTAGTGAAATCGTACATGCGTTCAACTGCGTAACGACCAGGGTTTCGGTATGTTTTGTGCCGAACTTGACCAGTTGCAGCACACGCATGCAACCACCAAACGTAACTGATACAGGTCAAGTGGGTTAACAAAGGTGTGGAGCGAGGCGAGACCCTAGTGTCCATCAGCACCGACGGCCGGGTGGTGGAGTGGTCTATGAAGAAGGGCCTTAGCTTCAGCCCTCTCATGGTGCTCAAACGCATCGGTGAGAGACTGAGCGTGCTCATCGCGTTGTAACGATAAAAGTGGGCTTGTGGTAGTGGGACGTGAGGCTGAGGCCCATCCTGTCGTCTCCCCTAGACTCGTTGTTTCCCTCGAAATTTTAACTTGATCGACGGGTACGACACCATCCGAGGGGAACACATGGTAGCCGTTCGTCCCTCTCCCGGCTCCGCCGAACCAACCTAACGAACTACCACAACCCAGTCACACACACACGCACGCGGGGGTATCGCTCCTTCCAGGCAATACGGAAGGCGTGATATCTCGGCAGGCCAGCGGCCTATCGTTCGACTTCCCTCCCGGCGACGGAGCTACGTACTTCGCCGGCACCGAGGACGGCCTGATCCACAAGTGCTCCGTCAGCTACAACGAGCAGTACCTTGAGACGTACCACGGCCACAAGGGCCCCGTCTACCGCATCCGGTGCTCGCCCTTCTGCGACCGTCTGTTCCTGTCCGCTAGGTGTGCGTGGGGGGTTCATCGGGCGTAGGTGTCGCAAGATGTGGTACGAACGCTGTTGCATACAAGGGGCATCTACACGGGGAACTCTTAGCTATCAGGGATGAACTACTATGTACGTAGTAGGTCCTAACCACAACAAGTTCTCCGAAGCTTCATAACACAAGCTGTCTTCTCCACCACTCTTGCTCTCCCGGAATCCCCCCCCCCCCCCCCCCTCTATCCAACCCTCCCCTATCCAGAACGACACGCTCACTGCACTTCTGTCGCGTATCCCTCGAACCTTCTTCCAAATCAATGCGCCCCCCCCAACAAACAGTGCCGACTGGACGGTGCGGTTATGGGAAGAGCGGCAGACAACCCCGTTGCATACCCTTCGGTCGGTGGATCTATGGGACGTGGTCAACGACGTGGCGTGGTCCCCGACGTGCTCCACGGTCTTCGCTTCCGTCGCAGGGGACGGGCGAGTCCAACTCTGGGACCTGGCGCACTCCACCCTGGACCCTATCGTGTCCACTGACCCCAACGCGAAGAGGAACGACAGGTGAGCTGTCCCTGGTGGTGGTGCTGCTGCTGCTACAGTATGTAGGGCCGGTGTAAGCCAACGCCAGGCAGAGTACAGTGGAGGTTTCTCCGTGTGGAAAAGATGTTCGCACGACAATTGTTTGAACTTCGGATAATGACTTCCGTCGGCTGACGACTCGCACAAACCTCGGGCACAAAAGAGATGGTGGTTATTGTCCGGTGGGGGGTTGCACCGTAGGAGCACAACTCTCCCACTTGTTGCAGAAAAGTCTTTTGGGCTGTCTTCGCCTTGATACTGATTTTCACGTTCCTCTTCCCCCACAAACTCCACAACGGCATATCGGTACCCCTTCTCACAACTCTTAAACTGAAACGAAACCCGTCTGTCCATTAAAAATGCATGAACAGCTCACCTGGGGCTAGGTCGATGGACAACGGCAGTGGCAGCGGTACCTCTACGCTCGACGGGGGAGCGTCCGTAACGGGAGGAAACGGACTCTCCCCGCGACCGCGGGACACAAACAACGCTGGGGACGCGGGGCGGTCTGAGCTGGGCGGTCTGTCCCCGAGGAACGTGCCGGCTAGGTCTCAGGGCTTGCCAAGCGGCGGCGGCGGCGGCGGCGTTGGAGGGTTGGGTGGCCAGCCGAGGGTACGGCCACGAGGGGTGCAGCTTACGGCAGTCACGTTCGCCGCGAACGCTCCTGTCATGGCCGTGGGTAAGAGACCGATGTTGAGTTTTTCTCCAGTGACTTGTGCCCCCTTTCCAGTGAAACGGGAAGACGTTTCCTCGGGTTTAGCTAAGGAAGAGAGGGTACCCTTAACGTCATATCACACACTTTACGTTTATTTGTGCAATGTTTCGCATGGGGAGAATAACAGAACAGAGAGGCGCCTTGTCTGTAGAAAAGACTTTGCAAGAGCGGCCGGCCGTGGCAGCCGGAGCCGACGTTGGCTGATTGGGTTAGTCACGTGCGCGTTGTGTGTTGACTGTATTCACATTGCAAGCTCGGTGATGCTGCCGTGGTTAAAGGTTTGCCTACATAGGCAGTGCTTTGTTTGACGTGAATGTCGTCGACTCGACCGACGTCAGGCGGTAAGTGTTACAGATATGTGCCATATCATCGACAAAAGTTGTGTGTGACTCCCATCCGCTATTTAGTACGAATTGCTTCACTAGGAAGTTGACAAGTCTCGGTTGGTGGTCGTTTCATCAAAAGAGATTAGGACAAAGAGTTGCCCTCCCTCCGACAAGTTCATGAACCATCAACGCTCAGCCTACATGCAACCCGCCTGTTGCGCGCCACACACGCAGGAGATTCTCAAGGTTGCGTAGACGTTTACAAGATTGTCGGGCTGGACCTAACGCCGGACGTGACCCGTGAGGAGCAGGTGGAACGCCTTCGCAAAGCAGTCATAACCGCCGACGCGGAAAGATGATGAAGTCAATATTTGCGCACACTGTTGGGAAGGAACACTCTGTCGTGTGTGGATGGGTGGACGAATGTACATGGACAATCTGAGCTCGTGATGCTACCCCCGCAGCAAGCTTGCAGCCTGCTTTGTGCCCAATGGTCGCCGACGTAGGTATACTCGGTCGCATGATGGTGGGGCGTGTGACAAGCCGGTGTTTGGGGGAGATTCGTTCAGTATACTGTGTATATATGTTCAGACACCGGCAACCGCCGGGTTTTGACAACAGCGGCTTCGGCGGGTGCTTCGTCCTGCATAACACCCAAATTGTACCAATGAAGCCCAGGGATGTTGTCGTTGTTGCCATATCACTATTTATTAGATTGTTCGTCCGACACGGATGAAATGATGGAAAGGTTACACGGGTCAGCCACAACGCCGTGTCAAGCCCCAATATGCCGATCGGGGGAGAAGTCAACACCCATGCGCAAGGGAAGCACGGTGCACGTGCATGATACGGGCTCGTTGAGTACTTTTGTCCACGTGCTGGACCTAACGAGCGCCAGTGTGTACTTGACCGTTGCTGGGAGATATGCCGCAACAAGCATTAAGGAGCAACGTCGACGAAAGGGCCACGGCGTCTCAACAGATTGCAGAGAAATCAGGCAACGCCGGCAACCGTGTGTGTGTGCCGTCTCTGCTTTCGTCCTAATCTATTCTGGGCGCCATTCTATACCTTTCGGCGCGTGTTTGACCGGCTAGCTGGGGCCACACAGGAGTACGGAAGCAGTCAGATTTTTTTCCCCTGTGCGTTTTTTTGCTGCAGCAGCGCCGTGGCTCGCGGCCCCATCTCTTAACGCGAGAAGGGTTCAGCAATCCCTTCCCTCTAGGTGGTGCGTACCACCCACGACTAGGCGCTTTTCACTTTATAAATTGCGGCTGTTCTCATCCAGTTTGGTACGAAGTACAGGCAGATTCCCCAGAGAACCACCAACCTGACCGCTACCACCACGTCCTCCGTGCACGCAGTCGTCTCATACAACCTTTCATGACGATCGGGCCGCCGCTTGCCCAAGGCACACATTCGCGTACGAAAAAGTGGTCAAACCCAGAAAAAATAGTCAAAACAACGCGAGCAAGCAAGGCAGCCCTGAGACCCGCCTACCTACTGCCACGCAACACCGACAAATGGATCGAAAGTCTATGGCAACAAGGTACAAACGCGTCACACCCTGTCTGACCAGGCCTACAGTGCAAAATATCATGACTGGAATTCTGCCTACACTTGCCACGCTTTTTTCTCATGAAGGTTCAGCAGCAGCCTGTTGTACGATCGCGTCAGCACCGCTTCGTTCAGGGGCAGACCAGGGAGCCTCTCGTTCACGACCACCACCGACCCATCGCTCGAGTCTCCTCCCCCTCCCCACACTGCTCTCTCTATCGCTTCTCGTCCTGGAACTCCTTCCCTGCCATCTGTTTTTCCCCCCTTTCCTCCATTATTTGCTCCTCCTCCTCCTCCTCCTCCTCCTATGCGGCCTGCCCCGCGAGCTTCCGCAGCTTTCGAGCGAAACGCGGCTGCTGTGGCCACCGGCGGCCGAGTGCCTCGAGCGCCTTCCGAACAGCTTTCCATCGCCCTCAAGACGTCCTGCCAGTCTGCCGTCTCTAGAGGAGGCGGCGGCGAGTTTTTCTGCTTGTCGTCGTCTTCTGCCAACGACGACGAAGACCGCGCTCTGAGACGCCGGAGCCGGTCGCCCAGAACAACGTGTAGCGCGGCGTCGATTATCCCCTCGCACTCCCTTCCGAGGCAAGACAACAGGCCAGGGTCGAGCTCCTCGCGCGGTGTCCCGCAGCCAGCTGCGGAAGTGGCGGTTGTGCCGGCGGCAGGTGAAGCAGCTCCGTCCTCTGCACCGTTGTCGACCGCCGCTTCAGGCGCACGGTTCCTCGGTTCGAAGCTGTCACGGGCGCGTCTCCTCGCCCTGTTCCACACCCGTCTGACTGTCTCCTTCGCCGGTTCGGACACAGTCCAGCCTTGCCGATGGCAGCCACTACTGTCGCCGTGATCATCGTCACTTCTCTCCGCGTCGACACCGCTGCGCGCGGTGTCCCAGCTCCGCTTTCTCCGCCTCCCTTCGGCACCCGCCGTCGCTACCCCACCACCGCCTTGGTCGCCTTCTTCCGCTAGACTCGCGAGCACGCCGTGTTGATGCTGTGTGCCTTCCTCTCCTTGTTGTCGCCCCGTCTTCCTTGTTGTCGTAGACGCCACCATCCGACGAACGTACTCCTCCTCTTCTTGGTACGACGACGGCAGGGCGGCGTCAGGGACGACGCCCGCGTTCTTTTCATCACCACCGCCGTCCGGTCCGAACCTGGCAGCCATCGCAACGGCGGCACGTCGTTTCTTTGTGGCGGCGGTAGCGCTGCCCTTCTCGTCCATCTGGAACTCGACCCAGCCCCCGTACCGGGCAGGAAGCATGGCCTTGACAACCTCCCCCTCCGCCGTGCTAGGCGGCATAGACGAGGGCGCGGCGTGGGGCGGCGGCGGCGGCTCCGGAGGCGGCGGGCCAACGGGGTTGGAAGCAGGATCGTAGCCAGAGGCAGGGGCTGCTGCTGCCGCTGTAGCAGCAGCAAGAGTCAGCGGCGGTCTTCTTGGCCTTGCTTCGACCCATCGGCCCCGCTTGTCAGGTACCAGTCGTTTCACGGGAGCCTCCTCGTGATGCTGGTGCCCGTAGGAAGAAGAGGGAAACTCTCGCTTGAGAAGCTCGTCGTGGATCGAGCCTTCGCTAACGGCGCCGACTCCACCGACGCCGCCGTTGCGACCAACACCACCCCCGCCGACCCAGTAGCGCGAACCAGGACTGGAACGGCCGATATCGCCACCACTGCTATTACCGCTACTGCCCTCCCCGATAGGGTCTCGGTAGAAGCTCTGACCCTCGTGGTGCCGAAGCCTAACGGGCCAAGTGCCCCACGGCAGCACATCGCCGCCGCGGATGACTCGTTCAGGCCTCATGTGTCCAGCCGTACAATTTCCGGTTGAATAGTTCAAGGTGCTGTGGACGGCGGCGCGGATCCCGATGTCCCCTGGCCAGCGCTCCTGTCTCTCGCTGTGCGGCAGGTGGTAGGGCGGGCGAGGGACGAAAAGCTGCAGGTCCTTCTGTGCCTGCGCGCGGAGCCTCGCGGAACTGGCGGCGTCGTGGCAAAGCCACTCCACGGGCGCCGGAATATCGACCTTGTCCACCTCTCGCTGGTGCCAATTCCTCGAGAAATACGCGCGCCTGAGGTACCTTGAGGTGGCTCGGTTGTTGTCGACCTCTACGCGGCCGTTCCACCCCTCGTCGGGCGCTGGACCTACTTCGTAGCGGAAGTACTGCTGCTGCTCTTGTCGAGGTGGTTCTGGCGGCGGCATTGCGGTAGACGGAGGTGGTGGTTCTATCGAGGACGTGGCGGCCTCCTTGACCTCCGCCTTCACCCGCGGTCGCTTACGCCCCATCACGAACGGCGGTGTTGTTGTTGGAGGTGTCCGGGAGGTCTGGTCGTCCGTTATGCGGCGCAATTGGCTTATGCCGGGGGCTTCGTAGATCATACACCCCCTCCAACGAATTCGCCATACAAGTACATGTCCGGAGTCCGGAGTCCGGAGGCGCCCTACGGCGCCATGTCGGTAGAGCAGTGCCAGGCACACAGCAGTACTGCAGTAGAGAGACGCCACTCGCGCAGGCGCCTGGAACAATAGATGGTCAGTATCGTGCTACGGACCCTGTCGAACCAATCACGGTGCTCGCTGTTGCGAAGGGGAGAGGTTTGCCGCCGACGAGTGACTGCCCCGCTGGTCTCTCCGAGCTTGTTGCACGCCGCGGCTGCACCACGGGCAACGATGTCAACACCAGCAACACCCACAGCAGACCACTCAGAGCCAGGAGTGTTCAGCACCATTGCTGACTTTCGTCGGGCCAGAAGGTTAGCAACTATGCAACTGCAATTATGGGTTAGCTCAGCACAAACGCCATACAACTGCAAATATGCAAGTTCATGGTCCCATCGATGGTTTTGCAACGTACGCGATCTGTCGTCGAGCGGTACAATAGACAACGGTGCAGATGATGCTTGATATGCTCTCCTTGTTTAACTCCTCCTACTTGTATGTGATGGTGCTAGGAGCAGTCTGGCAACGCATGCTGGGAAACTGCTTACAGCAATGTGTCGTCCTTGTGTAGCTATCCAATGTGACATGATGATTCAAATTCAAACTGCTGTACAGCAGTAGACTATTTAGCGATTTGCTTTGGGTTTAGGGAAGTCTCAGGGGTGGTCCGTCTAGGAGGCTCGCTGATTGATTGCCTCCCAGTGCTCAATATCATGCACCGGTGGGCGAGGGGTATGCACCGCACTCACGCAAGGGTTTCATGCATACCTCCGAGGACACCCTTCCCGATTCCTCTTCGAAAAAAATACCCATCTGAAGGCGCGGTAATAACAACGAAGCAGATCCACCGCCGTTCATCATTCGTACACAAGCACCCGCAACCCGCACCAACGCACACAATAAACTCGACAGGAGCCTCCCACACGACGCGTCGGTGGGGTTCGTGCCGACCATGGGCGCCCTCCACGAAGGCCACTTGGACCTCTTCCGTAGAGCGAGGCGGGAGTGCGACATTGTGGTGGGGTCGGTGTTCGTCAACCCTGCGCAATTCGCTCCACATGAGGTGGGCGCATATCTGAGCCACACATCGTGGTTCCTTCGCTTTTTTATCCTCGTAAATGGTCGTTGTGCCAGCAACTGTGCACAATAAGCCAGGGTGGTGTTATACCCACGGCGTTGGCTGATCATACCATCGAGCGTCTGACTTTTTCTTCACGGTTGCGTATGCATAAGAAAACATACAGACAGCAGTAACGGAGAAAACGGAAGCGCGATTTGTACTTCCGCGCCCTGGGTGCTGCCCCCCCCCCCCCCACCCTTGCCTTTAACTCCTCTGCCACCTCTACCGCCGTGTTAGTTTTGACCCATGACCAGCATGCCAATCTGTAGCACTTCGTACCGCTGGTGTTGGTGAGTCACAAAATCCTTCGTATGTGTGTGTGTCTACTGCTTGCTGCTGCTGCTGCTTTTTTGACCTCCTGGCGTTCGTCAGGATCTAGACCGGTATCCCCGCCAGCTGGAGCAAGACTTGGAGCTGTTGGGCGGCGAGGGGTTGGTGGACCTCGTCTTTGCCCCCACCCGCGAGGAGATGTACTCGCCGGACCACCGGTGGGAAAAAAACAAATAAAAGTTCTTCTGAAACAAAAGAAGAGAGTGGATACAGTATGAAGTCCTTGTGTGATGCTACGTGTACTTTCTCGAAGAAAAGTATATTGTAGCCTTACCGTTCTAGGCATCTGCTTCAAAGAAACGTATTTTGGGGCCTGAAGGGTTTATAAGCCCGGCCTATGCATACGATTCTTATTGTTCGACCCGATTTCGTTCACGTTATGTGATGGTATGCTAGCTTTATTTACTGTTCCTTTTGTTCGGGTCCACTGAAGGCGCTTTTCTCTAACATCGAAACATTGCAGCGGCTAGGACAGCCTCCAACGGGTACTGTAGGCAGCCGACTTTTGTTTGGTTAGTCGATCAATGCCCGAGAAGGAGCTCCCGCACACGCGCGTACGGCAGCAAGAGCTTGGTTTTTGTTGTTTTTTTCGCGCTTGCACCGTCCCTAGTAGCACCTGTGCTTCATGTATGTGTTTCGTGTTCTTCCTCCTCTGTTTGCCTATTGAGTGCTGGCTATCAGCCTGTCTCTCTCATTGGCTAACTCGGTCTATCTGTCTTATCCTTGTTACCATGTTTTTCCTGATCTGTATTTTTGATTCTTGCCTTTCCCACCACTGCTGTCTCAAACTGGCGTGCGTACGTCCTCGGCAGAATATACGTTGATCCGTTGGGGTTCGACGATCTGCCGGAAGGCGTCGCAAGGCCGGGGTTCTTCCGGGGGGTGGCCACCGTCGTGACGAAGCTGCTGAACGTGGTGCAGCCCGACCTCGCGTTCTTCGGACAGAAGGACGCACTCCAATGCGTGCTGGTCAAGAGGCTTGTTGAGGTAGGCGCCCGAGAGTTGCCGTTCGCAGGTTACGTTCCCTGCCCAGCACTCAACAACCGCACTCGGTGTCTCTATGTAGACCCGCGGGTATCGTGTGAAGTACTCTCCTCTCCTTCCCCAGAAAACGTCGCCCCTCGGAAAGCATTTCGGCAAACAACGTGCCGCCTCCTCGTCCCGGGTCTGACGACCACCGCAAAGGCGCGAGCTGTCTTCAACGCGCCCACTTCCCCCGTCGCCATTTTGAAGTGTAGGGTGTGCGTTTCAAGGACAAAGGGCAGGCGACCAACGAGCGCGCCCCCTTCCCCTATCCCCTCTCTATGACAAAACATTTTTTTTTCAAGGACCTAAACATGCCCGTGACGGTGGTGGTGAGCGAGACCACCAGGGAGGCGGACGGGCTGGCGATGTCGTCCCGAAACGCCTACATGTCGGCCGAGGAGAGGGCCGCGGCGCCGGCGGTGTACCTGTCGCTGCGGGCGGCGGCGGACGCTCGCCAGCGAGAAGCGGACGCGGGAAGGTGCGTCGTGGACGCGAGTATTGCAGAGGTACATGCGAATATTTACCGTTAATTAACACCCCCCACAAATGTCAGGTGAATATGTTTGTACAGGCCGACTTGATCCAAACTCTGCGAGGTCTATGGTTTTACGGCTACGGCATTGTGTTTACACGAAAACACCCCCTCTCCCCCCGATGACACACCCGGTGGTCAATTTGGTAGCGGCCAAGATGCTACCGCCCAGGTGTGTTTTATTGTCGCATACGGCGGGTGTTGTTCCTGTCCATGTATGTTAGTGAATCCGTTGATACAACAAGCAGGCGTCTTTCTCGAACTTCACGCCCAGCGCGATGACTGCATGCAATGGGCATGCAGGAAGACGAGGTCGTTCGGAGAGAATGTGACAACAGGGTTGATTGGTGTGTTCCTTTGGGGGTATCCCGGGGTATGGATGGATGAGAAAGTGCCCAACACACCCCTTCTGCCAAGTTCTTGGATACGCTCATGTGCCTTGACATAATCGCCTCGACCCCCCAAAAGAGCACCCGGCTTTGCGTTCGAGCCAACGCAGGCCAGGAACTACTTTATTAACAATTCTCCTTTTCTCTGAATCCCCTTTTCTGTCCGCTCCCAGAAACGCGTCTCGCGAGGAGCTGGTTGCAGCGGCGGAGGAAGTTATCTCGGCTCAGCCACTGATCACGTCCGTCGACTACCTATCGGTCGGGTCCCCGGCTACCATGGAGGAGTTGGAAGAGATAGGCCAGGCGGGAGCGGTCGTTTCTGTCGCAGTTCGGCTTGGGTCCGTCAGGCTGATCGACAACGTGGTGCTTCCCCCGCTCGCGAGATAAAAGTAATGACGGTCGCCGTTTGTTTTTTTCGTGGGTATCTCTTTGAATTTTGGGTAGATGCACGGCCGGCGATCGATGTGCAGGCGCCGTTATAGGATCGCGCCGGCAGCGAAAGTTGAGTTGTTGCTGGCGACGGATAGTTGTCGGCGTCGAAGTCGTCGTTCGTTGCTGATGTTTTTTTTTTTTATGTTTTCGCATCGAAAAATCGTCGTGATCACACTACCACCCCAGTCGCAGACAGCGGTTTAGCAGCAGCAGCAGGCGTGGAATCCCCGTTGATTGTCAGAGGGAAAAAATATGTAGTAGATGGCGTTAAGGTCTCCGGGAGAGGAGGCGAGAATACTGAAGGGAGGGGGTGGTGTGGACGACTTTTGGGGCGCTAGAAGCCAGAGAGAACACGATGGCAAATCCTAGACACAACGAGTTTGCTGCCAGTGATCGAAAAAATAGATTAGACTTCTTCGGTGTCCTTCACAGGGACACACGCGGTGCAGCATGACGGCAGATTGGACAGCGAAAGGCCCTCTCGATTGCAACGAAGTAAAAGAGCGCTCAGCTTTTTGCTGGAAGAACTGTTGGAGGCTGTTGATGGCACCCCCCCCACCCCCTCGCGCCGGGTGAAGCCCATGTTTCATCACATCCCAAATAGTCGGGGGTTTCGCCGCAGCGGATACCCAAATTTGCACTTGGGGGTAAAAACGGCGAGAGAGACTGACGTTGAGAGCAATTTCCCGAATGTTGGTCTGCCAGTCCTTACCGGACGAAGGGATGATGCTGCGCTGCACATCTAATTCCTTTCAACCGGGTTGGGTCGTTCTTTTCGAACAATTACAACTGTTCGTGACAGTCTCGCGAAGAAACGGTGCACCAGAAACAGGGCAAGACCAAACCGTCTCAGCCAGGCGAATGACGCGGAAGGAACAGAAATTAAAATCACCGACCGACGCCCGACCAAGATTACCAGAAGCGTTCTGCTCCAACACAAGACAAAGAGTAACGGTGACCTAAATAGTGCCGTGCTTCCAAATTGTATCACCATCTGCACTGGCTAGAAAGGCCCCCCTGCTCCCTCCCTCCCTCCCACCTCTCCCCCCGCATCCGTTCTCCCACGTCTGTTATATTAGGTTAAACGTGTTGAAAACGTGTTGAAAAAAAATACATCTGCACCGCCGCAACGCTAACCCAAAATTCGCCCACCTCTTGTTCAAAATACAGCTCTAGTACACTTGTGTGTACCTCTCCTTCAAACTACAGATTTATTTATTGGAAAACTGTTGTAGAGACGAACCGAAACGAAATGGGGAAGAAAGCGAAACTACGCAGTCGGGAACAGCGCGCCTAAAACACATGGTCGTGTGTCATCTACGAGATGATGTCTCGCAGGCTGGAAAGGTGCGGGTACGGCACCAGCACCTAGCAAGAAAAGGGGGTGGGGGGCAACCAAGAACAGGCGCAAAACACGACCACGCCATTCTCGGCCCGCTAGCTCCAACAAAATACTGCACCGGAAAGAAAAACAGAGGAGGGGAAGCCGTAGGACCACAACCAACAAGACATACTCACAAAAATATAAAACAACAATTGCACACAAAGCACGCGCGCGCCCGCGCGAGCATGAACGACGGACGGCACACCCAAGGTATAAACAAAAAACACCAGCAAAAAATATCACCCTCTCGCCCCCGTCCTCCCCGCTACTGGTGACCTCAAAAAGAGGCACATTCATATGGACGCGTCACGCCGAGACACACACAAAAAAAAAACGATAACAACTTTGTGCGGGGTCAGCGGTGATTTGGGTCTGTGACAGTAGTAGTAGCAAAGGCGGCCGTCCTCGCGGTGGCCGGCGGTTGTGACGGAAGTTGCGGGGTCCCCGCGGGCGGTGGCGGGAGCGGAGTTTTTCTGCTCAGGCGCTTGATGAGCTCGTAGACACTGACGATGAGGACGGACGCCGGGGCCATCGCCAGTATCCGCGGCCCGAGCCCCTTCATTAGCCCCCTCGGCCCGCTCTCCGCCATCAAAATTCGGTACTCCGACCTAGCGGTGTTTAATGTTATTGTTGTTTCGTGTCGTTGGGGAGAGGCATAGAGCAACAGAGGCCAAAAACACAGAGGCAGAGGGCAGAAAAATGTGTTCAGTCAAGCGGGGAGTGGGGGGCGTGGGTGTCCTTGACATCATACATGAGTGTACGGAGGTGGTCAGCGCCAACGTCTAGATCCAAATGTGTTGCAAGGAAGGAAGCAACAAATACGATGTGTCTCGCCGAAACCTGCTCCTCGTTTAATGCTGCGACCGCTAACGTTGGGTCGTTTTGCGCAAAACGTTGCTCACGCATCACTTCTCACGGTCGAGATACCCACACCCCTTCAAACCACAAACCAAACAACAACAACAACAACAACAACAACAACGACGACAACGACGACGACGACAGCAGCAGCAGCAAAACTAGGCTACTGTATGTACAATACTCACGCTATCGTTCGATCGTCGCCGCGGCGCCCCTCCACCTGGAGCCTCGTCCTCAGCACGTCCAGGGGGTTGGTCAACAGCACCGTCGTCATTCCCGTGCAGAACCCCGCCGCCGCCTGGCCCCCGACCTGCCGCTGCTGCGCCGTCAGCTCCGGGACCGGCTCCGGCAGGTTACCCAGCGCGCGCACGAACGCCCGGCTGTACACACCGTACGCGGCCCACCAGATCTGGACAGAACCAGGGAGTGGCGGGGCGGGGGGATTAGGTCTCGGGGGTGGTGCGGTGGCGTGGAGTGGAGGGGTACCAAGGAAATATCGTTCTCATTATGTTTCTAGTTTTCTATACCTTAGTCGCTGGATGTACTTGTACCTGTGTGTGTCTTTTATTGCTTGTTGTGCTTTCGTACCACCCATTCCGAACGCCATTCTACACCCTTCGCTACATAGAGGGGGTTCCTGTTTAGTGCCGGTATGGACCCAGAAAATTAACTGGCACTATACCGGGGACCGGCACTATCCAAATTACTGACAATGACTTGGAAACTCAGTGTGTACCCGCCGACAACACCGGCACCATACCGGGCACCGGCACTATTCAACCGGCACTACAAAGGGACCCACCCCCCTCTGTTTGCATGTTGACTTTGACACACGCGAGAGGAAGGACAAACACTGGAGCTGTTTCGTTGTTTTCTCCACCTCTTGCATTGCATACCTCTCGTTCTTAACGTGGGAAGAGTTCAGCAAGCAGGCTCATTCCCATATTTCGTGTCTACTCACGATTCGAGCACCAAGCGATTTCCCACACCTAACATCGCAAAATTCTCACCCCAAGAGATTCGAACCCGCAATCTAGAGGGTCCGAAGGTTGCGAGCGTACCAACGGAAGCACCGAGGGTACCTAGAGCACGATGTTTGCGGTCGCACCATACTCACTCGGAGCACGCAACCACCAGCCAACGAGACTCATCAACACAATACATGAAAGAAACTCACCGCCGACGTCGGCGCGAACTGCAGCACAGAAATACCGAACCCTCTGTAGAAACCCCTAAGCCCGCTCTCGCCGTAGACCTGCCTCGCAATTTCCCGCGCGGTGACGTTGTGTCCGCTCCCCCCCGCCCCCGCTTCCCCCCCGCCCGCCCCTCTCCCACTATTTCGCACCGTCCCC